AGGAGAAAGAAGAGCAAGCTGTAACAAGGAATCAAAGGGGTAGGTAACAAAGGATAGCAGCAAAAGAAAGGATTGGGGGTTGGAGAAAAAGAAAAATCAGTGATAAGAGAGATGAAGAGTAATAGAAATTTCCTACACCAGAAATGCGGAAGGGTGACAGTCTGAGAGACAGTCAACATTTTGAAGCTGGACTTTCCCACAAATATTTGAAAGAAATTAAGAGACCAAAAAACTGCAGTTTATTGGTTCATTTTATTTCTTTTAACCTCATGATTTTTTAAACTCGCCCTCTTCAGTTTGATTGATGACTTTGCACCCATAGGCCCCAGCAGACATTACACTTAAGATATGATTATCCTTTTAATCGCGTCTTAAATAGTAACCAAGCCACACATTCCAGAATTAATGATGTGACAAAACAGGAAAGCAGCCAAAAATTATTCCATGGTGGGCCTTGCTTGACAGTACCCCCATGTTAGCAGGCTGAAAACTGGCTCTGGTGCAGCCCTGCATGGGACTGCACACCACTGTTTTCAGGGTGCTGAGTTAAGGGGAGCTGGGTTGGGGTGCCAGGTCATGGGAAGCTGTGGAGCAAGGCATTTGACATCCCAGTTACAAAGACCTGGGGATCAAGTAGAGGTTCCCTGATTCTGGAGTCCCTGTTATCAAGTGATTTCCTCGTATGTTGTTTCACTTCAGAGGAGAGATGGATGATGGAGTCAGGTATCTCTTTGATGTAGTCCTACTTTTTACAAAGAAAGTGTAAAATTACATTTTACCTGAGCACAGGAAGAATTAAATAGGAGACAGTTTCCTTTCTTCCAGCCAAAAGTCTCCAATTGGCTCGAGACTGAGGCTGATGATAAGCTGATTGTCAGTCCCAGGCTCAGGACCACACCTGTTCATGCTTTCACTTTAGGCTCCAGCTTTTCACACACTGACTAGTAAGTAATAGCGCCTTTGGGACCTGATCCCCAATCCAAAATTTACATGGCCAGCCATGTATATGTGGCATAGCCAGGGGTGTGATTGGATTAGGGATCAAATCCCATCGCACCATTGAATGGAAGTGTGCCATGGGCTTAGATTTGGCAATGCCAAACTCCAGCATTTGGCCAGGGAAAAGCTGTGGGGTTGGGAAGCTGTGTATATTCTGTGTATTTCCTGACCTCTGTTCATAGGATTACAGGAATGTAGGGCTGGAAGGGACCTCATGAGGTCATCTAGTTCAGCCCAGTACTCAGGCCTGGATCATCTCTGACTAAACCATCCCATTTAAGTGTCTACACCACTCTTGACAGTTTCTAGGGGTGGAGATTCCACATTTGTAGTTAGCTTGTTCCAATGTTTGACAATCCTTATACTCAGAAAGCTCTTTCAAATCTTCAGCCTAAAATTCCTCTGATGCAGGTTGAGTCTATTGCTCCTAGTTCTGCCCACTACAGCCACAGAGAAAAGTCTATATATCCATGCCTTCTTAATCATTCTGTAGACAAGTCACCATATCTTCAAATAAGCCACAGCACCTTTCAGATGAATATGTCTGTTTGGTGCTTTCTATAACTAAGACATCACTGCTCCAGTTGGGGCCACTTAGTTTTCCTGAGATCAAACACATTTTTTACTGTCTAGTAAATAGGTGCAGAAGGAGATATCATGCCTTGCTCTAGCAGCTGGTTTTCATGAAGTGTCTATTTATAAAACTTATTAGTTATTCTTTAAGTGGTTGAGGTCTGTGCTGTGAATTTAAATAACTTGGGCTACTGCCCTGCTGATGACTGTTTTGGAGCAGTATGACATTACTTGATGGAATTTGGTACTTTCCGTTGCATTTTTTTTAAAGTGGAATACACGCACACAAAACCAGGTTAAAAGAATGTTAGTGTGGCAAAGTCAAGCTTATGAAATTTAAGAAATAGTTATCATGCAACCTTAAGTCTGTACTTTCTTGCATATTGATTGTGACAAGTTTGTAATTAAATGACCACATACATTTTTTTTTCAGAACCACTGCAGGTTTTTTTGCTTAGTATGGGCTCAACATCATGTATTGAATGAGGTGGTTGTTGGTAGGATTCTTTCATTTACTGTGGAACTTGTACTGATGCATAGTGAAAAGGGTAAGGGCCTGCAGATAGAGAAAAGGTAATTTTGTGGTTAAGGGAGCCCCCTTAAGTCCCAAGTTTGGCACCCAAATTTACTGGACACTTCTGCATAGTACTATTAATATTACCGGGATGCTCAAGATCTAGAGCGACAAACGTGACTAAAGAATCTGTGAAATGATTATCAATTCTGCATCCACTTCATGACTTGTGCAAAAAATAAAACTGGGGACAACACACTGAATGAAGACTATAAACAGGAATATTGAAGAGCTGTCTTATTTCTTGAGCCCCTTCTATACTATGCATAAATGACATAGGGATTGTATGACAGAAGTAACATGTGAGCATGTAATTAAAGTAGTTGTCATAAAGCATACATATAAGGGAAAGGATTATACAAACTCAATTCTGGGATTTCCTAACTTCGTAATGCTTGACTTTTCAGGGAAGGAAGAACATAAGAGAAATATATAAAAGTTCTGAGAGGCACTTGTAGGGTTATTCTTGAGATTATATCTGCTCCAAAGTTATTTACAATAGAATGTTTTCTTTATAATAGTATCTGAAATAACTGAGCATAGAGCTGCTCCAGCAAGAACGTTTTCTCCTAAAAAACTTGTCATTATTTCGATTTACAGAATGTTGGCAGTACTTAGTATATAAACCCATTTTAGTGTAATATTCAAAGGCTGGAGTGAAGATGGGTACAGAGGAAAATTTATTTTTCATTTTAATTTTTGACTTCTTGCATGGATGATTATTAGATTCTCTTTCCCTGCAGCTGGGTTCCCTGGCTGATCTTCTGCAGCTCACAGCATCTTATCAGGGGCTACACTGGAATCATTTTTGACTAGCAACTTTCTCTATAAACTTTTAATAACCCTTGTGGTCTTATTCTTTCCCCCAAGGCTATTTCCTTCAGTGCTAATGGCTCTTTTACCCCTTTAATAGAAGCTATATAAACAATCTTGATGAGAAAGATTTCTCCCTCCAAATAGCTCTCTAGAGCTCTGTCATGCTTCCATCCTTCTGTATGTGCTGGTTTATTTGAGAACCCAATATTTACCATATTTACTTAAATATGAGAAGTTTTTTTCCCTCAGTCTACATGGGGAAGAAAGCTTTACATTTGCATACAAGGAAACTCCATTAAATACATTGCCTATCTTTGAACAGCTGCTAAAAGCAGTATGTGCTCAGTAACGGAAACTAGCTATGAAGGTGATTAAATGCAGACAATAATGAGCATGACTCATATAAAGTATATGATCCAGATGGAGCAAACATGCTGATGGGAAGTGACCACATTTTTTTCCAAAAATATTTCTATATACATGAACAATTATATATATAAAACTACCTCTAACAACCTGTCATGTGACCACCAGGGTTCACTTAACAGACCAAAAACACACTTTAACAGTTAAATTATTTTAGTCCCATTACAAAGTTTGCACTA